CTGATGCCCAGGTGGCGAAGAAGGCCACCAGCATCCTGGCTTGGATCAGCACTAGTGTGGCCAGAAGGACCAGGGCAGGGATCATTCCCCTTGACTGGGCACTGGGGAGGCCACACTTCAAATCCTGAGTTTAGTTTTGGCCCTTCACTCCAAGAAGGACCTGGAGGGGCTAGAGTGTGACCAGAGAAGGGCAGTGAAGCTGCTGGGGAAGGGTCTAGAGCCCACGTGTGGGGAGGAGCAGCTGAGGGAGCTGGGGGTGCTGAGCCTGGAGCAAAGGAGGCTCAGGGGAGACCTTCTGGCTCTGCACAGCTCCTGACAGGAGCCTGGAGCCAGGTGGGGGTCGGGCTCTGCTCCCAAGGAACAGGAGGAAACAGCCTCAAGTTGTGCCCCAGGGGAGGTTGAGATTGGCCCTGAGGAACAATTTCTTGCCCTTGAGGGTTGCCCAGGGCTGTGACAGGCTGCCCAGGGCAGTGGTGGAGTCCCCACCCCTGGAGGGGTCTCCAAGCCATGGAGATGTGGTGTGAGGGACACGGGTCAGTGGGGATCTGGCAGTGCTGGGGAAGGGTTGGACTTGATGATCTGAAAGATCTCTTCCAACCAAAATGATTCTGTGATCATCTGCCCAGTGACAGACAGGGAAGAGGAAACAGCCCCAGCAGTTACTTCACCTTGTCCCCTGTGTCTGTGAGTTTGTGCACACAGGCAACACCAATCCTCCAAGGTCTGTAGGTGCTCAGGCCTGGCTCAGGGTGCTGCTGCTTGTTGTTCCATGGAACCTGGCCTGGTGCTGTGGCACGGGGATAATGGGTTTTTTTTTGGGGAATCTGAATCAGCAGTTAACACCGGCTCCAGGGCTGGCCAAGGAGCAGTGCAGGCCAGGGGCAAACATTGCTGCTAATTAAAGCCCCTCCTAATGGCTGGGTCATTAACATCTCTGCAGGGAGCCTGCCTTGGTCCAGGTCAGGAGGAGCTGGTTTGCTTTGGGTTATGCTGGTGTTGTCTCTTTATGTTTTGGTCTCTGCAGAGCAGTGGAAAGATGTCACACGAGCTTTGTCGTGACCCGTTTTGTTTTTTCCATCCTGAGTGCAAATATTTACCACACTCTTGCCTTTAAAACCTCTTTGCCCTCCCAGATGTTTCCGCACAAAAATCACAAGTTTCTTTTGCAGAAGCAGAAACTGAGGTCGGTATGCAAAAGAAAATGGGTGCAAAGCTGCTTTCTGGCTGGAGAAAAGCTCTGAAGGTGGTTGGGGGAGGCTCAGGGGCTTGCAGTGGTGGCAAGGCAAAAATAACCACTTGTGGGTGCTGCTCAGGGATGTCTGAGGAGCCTGAGCTGGGTTAGGCACTTCCCTGAGCAGCTGCCTGTCCTCTGGATCCCTTTAGTTTCAGCTCCTCCTCATGGTGGGAAGCTGAGCTGGGAGCTGAGTTGAGCCACTCCACTAATAGGCATTTCTAAAAGTTTCTTTGTGAAAAATGAAGGTGTCACTGGCAGCATCGAGGAGATGTCACAAGTCCTCATCCTTTGGGTATCTCCTCTCGTCGTGGTGTGTCCCTGGGGATGTGTCACTGGTGGCTGATTGCAGCCATGAGCTGGGCTGAGCTGTAAATCCCTCTCTTTTGGCACAGCCCTGTTCTCTGTCCCCCTGTCAGTGAAGGTGCTCTCCTTGCTGAGCTCCTAGCCCTGGGCTCTGTGCAGATGAGGAGTCTCAGTTCTCTCAGTTTATTGCTTCTTCCTCTCCTCTCAGGTGTGCCAGGCTCTCCTCTGCTTCATGGCCCTGTAGTCCCCCAGGCTCCCATCTCCCTGTTTTATTCTTAGAGTTTTTGGGCTGTGAATTAACCTTTTTGCTGCTGTTTCTGTGGGATGATCCAGGTCGTGTCCAATGCAATAAGACTTTGCCCTTTACCACGAAAGCTTTTGGGCTGACTTCTGTGTGTGAGTAGCTTGATGTCATTGTGCTGTCTGAGCACCAAGGCAGAATGCACAACGTTTGTGCCAGCCTGTGATCTTCCTGTAAAGCCTCCTGTGGTGCTGACATTCCTCCCTGTCCCCTTCTGGTGGCTTTCCCTGTGTCACTGCTGTGGTGGAGCCGCCGGGCTGGGCTCAGATCAAGCTCTGCCTGCCCAGGTGGAACCTGGTGATGCTCTGCCCAGCTCTGGGTGCTGCCAGTTTGGGATTTGGAGAAGTACCAAACCCACAGGTCAGCGTGTGGGTGGCTGCACTTCCCTGCTGCTGTTTGGTGGGAAAACCAGCTGGTGGCAAGCTGTTAACTGCTTGGGCTCTCACCTAAGAAAGCTTCTGAGCCGCGGAGGCGTTTGTGATGGATGAGCCATCAGGTGGGAGGGTTTGGGCACTTCCCTGTGCTCTGATGTGCTGCTCCTGAAAGGAAAGCTCACCCAGGAGGCAATCCTTCACTGGGCTCAGCCTTAGGAGGCTTGGATTTCGTGTCTAGCTCTGTGCTGCCTCACTGGAAGCACAAAGCAAGGCAATGGTTTTCCAGAGCGGTGGAAACTGCAAACTGAGAGCTAGGTACTGTTGGAATGATTTAATTTCCTTAAATTCTGGTCCTGCTGAGGTAGAATTGCACCTCAAGTAGCCACTACTTAAAGTCCTAATATCACTGATCAATGGGAAGGATTTTGTAATTCAAATCGGGCTGATTTTTGGGGGTGTGGAGGCTGTGTAAGGAGGGGTCTGTGTCTCTTGTTCCACCCGGGCAGGGCCCAGCGTGGTGGGGATGCAGCAATCTGAAGCATCAACATTAATAATAGAGTGGGTATTATTCAAATGAAGCCTGCCACTTTTCCTCTGGGGGCAGGAGCCCCAGGGGAATGGCTGCACACGCCGATCTGTTCCTATCATTGCTTTCTGCAGAATCACTGGGAAGCTGGTAGGATGCTGGTCACCCTGCTCTTCCCCTGGGCCAGCCGGCCCTTGCGACGCCTCACCTGGTACTGGCACCCTTGCAGCTGGGCCTTGAGTGGACAGAAGAGCCCCCACAGGGGTCTGCAAACCACTTGGGCCACCTCCAGCAGCGATGTCACCCCCGTCTTCACTAGGGCTTTGAATTTTGGTGATAAAATTGCCATCATCGACCAAAACGGCGAGCACACGTACAGGGACCTTCTCACCCGCAGCCTGCGCTTGTCCCGGGAGATCTGCAGAGCTCTGGGCTGCTCCAGCAGGGACCTGAAGGAGGAGAGGGTCTCGTTTCTGTGTCCCAACGACGCCTCGTACGTGGTGGCCCAGTGGGCCACGTGGCTGAGCGGGGGTGTGGCAGTGCCCCTCTACAGGAAGCACCCCCTGCAGCAGCTGGAGTACGTGGTGCAGGACTCGCAGAGTGCTCTGCTCCTGGCAGCAGAGGAGTACGTGGGGAGGATGGCCCCGAGTGCTGAGAAGCTGGGTGTCCCCCTCCTGCCCCTCCTCGGGACCCGCGGCGACGGCTCCGAGAGCCCCGTGGCCGTGGAAGAGGGTCCCTTGGCAGCCTGCTCCTCGTGGAAGGAGAGAGGAGCCATGATCATCTACACCAGTGGGACCACAGGGAGACCGAAAGGTGTCCTCAGCACCCATGGGAATGTGCAAGCTGTGGTGAGTGCTGCCTTCACAGAATCCCAGCGTGGTGGGGCTGGGAGGGACCTCTGGAGATCATCTCATCCAACCTCCCTGCAGGTCACCCACAGCAGGGTGCCCAGGGTCACGCCCAGGCAGGTTTGATGGCAGAGAAGGAGACTCCACAGCCTCTCTGAGCAGCTTCTCCAGGCTCGGCCACCCTCACACCAAAGAAGTTTCTCCTTATATTTAGATGGAACCTCCTGGGTTCTAGTTTGTGCCCATTGCCCCTTGTCCTGCTGCTGGGCACTGCTGGCAAGAGTCTGGCCCCAGCCTCTTGACCCCAAGGCACCCTTTAGCTCTTGCTCAGCACTGATCAGATCCCCTCTGAGGCTTCTCCAGGCTGAACAGCCCCAGGGCTCTCAGCCTGGCCTGGCACAGAGATTCTCAGGTCCACTCAGCATTTTCATAGCCTCTGCTGGACTCTGGATCTCCAGTAGCTTCTTCCTCTTGTTAACTGGAGAACCCTCTGCAAAGCTCATGCCAGGTTACAGAGGTCTTGGCCTTCAGAGACAATTTTGGGGTTGCCAACACACCTTCCCACAACCAAATTCCTGCAGAGAGCTGTGGGGCTGTATCTCAAAAGTCCTCAATGCTTTTAAGGTGAACATGCAGAAGGAAGTTTGAGGCTCTAAACCTTGTCCTTTGGGTGCTGCTATGCTGCAGCTGCAGCCAGGAGTAGATGGATTCCTCTCCCTGCTTTCCTGGAAAGCAGGAGAGATGAGCCATGTTGTAAAAAGCCTGATTTCATTGCACCTTTTCTTCCCTGTGATTAGGAGAGACTCTTTGCCCTAATTGCTCTAGAACATAGCCCAGCACAGTGCTGTGTGAAGCCTGTGCATTATTCAGCTACCTATCCCCAAGGCAAAAAAATCCATTAGCTTTCTGAGCCAAAAGGAATTAAAAGTTTGGATGAGCCTGCTGACTACCTCACCAGTTGGTTATCACTGCCTGCAACCCACAGACTCCTGCCAGGAGGGGGAAAAAGGGCAGGGAACACAGCCTGCCTTACAGACACCTCCAAGAGCTTGCCTCATTCCGGGTGCTTGGCTCCTGCAGTGCTGGGAGTGCTGTGAAAGCCTTGATGGATTGAGCCAGAGCTTGGCTATATCAGGCCAAGAATCTCCTCCTTTACAAATATGCCAATCATCTGGGAGGTGGCCCGAGCAGCCACCATCTTCTGGGCTGTCTTTGCAGAAAGCCTAAAACCTGCTCCCTGCCCTGTGGAGGAAGAGAGCTATGAATGTCATGAGTAAATTCCACTGTTCAAATACCTTTTTTTTTTTATTTTTAGCTGGCTGGAAATAAGCTTTCCAGTTGCTAATGCCAGGCTCTGAGGGGTATTGTTCACCCAGAAGCCTGAGGTCTATCACTTTAGATAATTATTCCTTCATAGCAGAGTATTTTAGAAGCTGATATGCTAATATTTTATTTTACTAGCATGAAACCTGCTTTTTGTTTCAGTGATTTGCTGCTCCTACTGACTATGCCTTACAGGTGCTAAAAGCCCCATGTCATTGGTATCTGAGCTCTGTCAGCAGAGTTCTGGGGAAATTAGGGGCTTTATTACTATTTCTGCCACGTCTGCCTGTGCAGCCCCAGGATAATAGTTTTGCAAGTCCTCCTTCAAATCATTGTTGATTATTTCTCAGTAACGAGGAAGGACTTTGATATACATGAAGGCATGGAAAGTGTTCCTCTGGTATTTGACTGTTGTGGTGAGGATTTTGCTCATGCTGACCCTGAAGGAAAGATGAGGGTTTTTTTTGTGTGCCCAGGCATCATTCCAGGAGGGGTGGGAATTCTGCTGCTGGCTGTGGCCAGGGGATCTGGGGGCTGGGGTTTTTCAAGCTGGGAGAGTCTTTCCTCATGCCTTAACACTGGGTTGTGCTTCCTTCACAGACCACAGGGCTGGTTGAAAAATGGGAGTGGAAGAAGGAGGATGTTATTCTGCACGTGCTACCTTTGCATCATGTCCACGGGGTGATCAATAAGCTCCTGTGTCCTCTCTGGGTGGGAGCCACATGCATCATGCTACCTGAATTTGATGCACAGATGGTAAGCCTGGAGGGATTGCACGTTGTCTTTGAAATTCAGCAGTGAGACCCCATGCTTTGCACTTAGAGCAACTTTGGAAATAAGTTCTTAAAGAATTCCAGCCTCTTCAGCCACCAGGCCTGCAGTTCACAAAGTGTCTGTTTAAAAACTCCTTTGGGTTGGCTGCTCAGTCTGGGGGCAGTGTGCTCTTCTGGAGGCTATAACTTGTTTAAGCATGAAGTAAAGTAATTGTAACACTTCTCTGCCTCTCCTTGTGGTGTTGAGGGTCTCTCACTGGAGGTGGGCTCTTCTTCATACCAGCTAAGAGCATCTGCACCCAGAGTAAGGCTTGGGGAAGAGTGGCTGGAAAGCTGCCTGGCAGAAAAGGACCTGGGGGGGCTGGTTGGCAGCCAGCTGAACATGAGCCAGTGTGCACTCATATGGCCAAGAAGGCCACCAAAACCCTGGCTTAGATCAAAAAAAGTGTCCAGCAGGAGTAGGGAAGTGATTGTGCCCCTGGTCTCATCACTGGGGAGGCCACAGCTTGAGCACTGGGGCCAGTTCTGGGCAGCACAGGATCAGAAAGACCTTCAGGGAATGGAGTGTGGCCAGAGAAGGGCAGCAAAGCTGGTGAGAGGTCAAGGAACATGGCTTGTGAGGAGTGGCTGAGGGACCTGGGGTTGCTTAGTCTGGAGAAGAGGCTCAGGGGAGACCTTCTGCCTCTCTACAGCTCTGACAGGAGGTTGGAGTGATGTGGGGGTTGGTCTCTTCTCCCAAGTAACCAGTGATAGGACAAGAGGAAACAGGTTGAAGTTGCCCCAGGGGAGGTTTTGACTGGATATTAGGAAGAACTTATTTCCTGGCAGAGTGGTCAGGCATTGGCCCAGGGAGGTGCTGGAGTCATCAGCCCTAGAGGGGTTCAAAAAACGTGTGGATGTGGCACCTGGGGATGTGGTTTAGTGGTCATGGGAGTGTTGGGTTGATAGTTGGACTTGATGATCTTGGAGGTGTTTTCCAACCTTAATGATTCTGTGATTCCTAGTACCAGAAAGGTGGAAATACTGGATTTTCCTCTTGTGGGTTAGTGGTGTGCTGTTTGGAGCCTGTTGGCATTTTCAGTAGCTTGCATTTTCCCCTTCCAATCCTATGTCCTTGGTCTTTTGTGTTCTACCACATGACAGAACGTGGGCTTTAGAGTTCCTTGCAGCCCAGGTAAGAGCAACACTGGTACTCACCACTTAAAATGCTTGCTAACCAAGACAGTCCTAGTGCTCTGCTTCTCTTTTATTCCTTGCTGTGGTGGTAGGCAGCTGACCTAAATAGAGGGAGAAAAGGGACTAGAAACAGGACAACCAAAAGTGAGGTGGAACAGTGTCTACAGTTACCAGCTCCTGGGGTCCAGCACTGGTCACCTGGGTCTTGTGGTGTTGTGAGGGACGTTGGAGTGTCACTGTAAAGGGAGCAGTTGGGTTTTCAGGTGCTGCTGCCACCTCCCAGCAGAGAGGAGATGTGTATTGTCCATACAGAACTCCCTGGGAGAGAGGAAGAGCCTGTCAAGCTCTTGCTTGGTAACTAAAGCTGCTTAACCTGGTCATGTTTATTCATATGCTGGGTGGCCTTGTCACACTGAGAGGACCAAGAGCTGAGGTGTGGGATACACCTGGAAGCCTTTGACTGTGGTGCTGTCAGGTGAGGGTGAGCCTGGGCTCTGGTCTGAGCCACTTGGTGATTCTTTGTTGCTTATTTCTGCTGCTTGAAGAAGCAGCCACAGAAAATGTCCACTTCCCTTTGTGTCAGGGAGGCTCTGCCACTGGAACATCCTCTTTCTGCATGAGCACTGATCCTTTGGGTGGAACAGCCCCAGAATCCCAGAGGGCCTGCCTTGTGAGACAGACAGGGAACTACTGGAGAGAGTCCAGGGGAGGCTGTGAAGCTGCTGAGGGGACTGAAGCATCTCTGTGCCAGGACAGCCTGAGAGCCCTGAGGCACAGAGAAGAGAAGCCTCAGAGGGGATCTGATCAGTGCTGAGCAAGAGCTAAAGGGCCCCCAGGAGGTCAAGAGGCTGGGGCCAGACTCTTGTCAGTGGTGCCCAGCAACAGGACAAGGGGCAATGGGCACTAACTGGAATTCAGGAGGGTCCCTCTGAACAGGAGGAAAAATTTTTTCAC